TGAAGGATGGAAATTATGAAATGGAAATGAAATGGTAATAGCTGAAAATAATGTTGAGTGCATAAATAATAATCTAAATTTTAATAACATTGTTCCTTATGAACTGAGCATTATAAAACAATGCATTATAAAAATTATTTGAACTGCCTCCGTGGCCGAACGGTTACCATGCCGGACTGCCACGCAGAGGTCTCAGGTTCGATTCCCGGGCCGGGACAAATAGTTGTATGGCCTACAATTATTTATCTCGTGAATTTGGGTGTAATTTGTGGTTGTCTATGTGTGTGTCCATGGCACCCGCGACACAGGGTTTCCCTAGTGCGGGGCTATGCTGAGTGTGTGCGTTATTTATTTATTTATTTAAAAACAGTTATCCGCAGTGTTGCCACTGTAGCCAGTTTTTAGCTATATAGATTTATTAAAATTTACGAAATTATTAGGTACAAAGCAAAATATTTGATAGTTAAATCTTTTAGTAAGAAAACTAAAAAAATTGGATAAAAACGAAAATAAAGCTTAACCTTCAATATCACAAGATGATAATGATTTGATTGATATTGATGATAATTATTTTTTCGATTTATAATTTGTAAAATTAAGAAAAATATGTATTTAAAAACGCAATCTCATAATTATATTTTTGGTCAGCCACTTTAGGCAATTTTACCCAGAATTAATTTCTTGGAATCTAGCAACTTTTTTACTTAAAGTTTAACTACTTTCTCCTTGGGCATCGTGGCAACACTACTTATTCAAAAAGTTGACAACCAACGTGGGCTACTACAATTTCTTGAAAACAACCCTCTATACACTATGTATACAGATGGTTCAAAGACTGAAGATACTGCAACTTCGGCATTTTATGACCCACAGGCATTGACTTACAAATAAATGGACGACAGGTCTAAAACAAAAACCACGAAAAAATGCCCCAAGTCAACCTATTTAAACATAGTGACATGTAAAGGAATATAAAAAGCTATAACGTTAAATTTAAATTATAATGTCATTGCAGTACTGCCTAATTTTGCTTACAACAATTGAAAGGCGCAAAAAAACACCATATTCAGCTTCTACTGGAAACTTACCAAAATAACTAACTAAAAGAAAACTACTTGAACACAGGCATAATGGAGTAGCCTTTATTATTTATAAATAAATTTTATACGTAAATGTTGAATTTTATACAATGCCATTTATTACGAGCTAGGGTGTGTGACTTTTTTTCTTGAGTTTCGAGAATTCTCGTACCCGATTTTTCGAGTTATTTGAATTTTTTTTAAAAAACCGTAAAAAATCAGCTCAATCAACTATAAAACTAAATGTGAACTTTTCGAAAGTTGTTTTGGCCTGGGTGTTCTGAGTTATGTCCCGGAATAAATTCCATCGTTCTTGGTGGCAGGTACGATTCCCAGTAGAACCAATTTGGGAAATGAAATTTTGTAAATTGGTTCTGCTCTGGAATTCTGTTGCTCTGATACTCATGGGGAGTATGTACAGAGAGTTGCCTAGTTTCAAACCAGGTCTTACAATAGAATACCAAGATCAGAACCATTTACAAAAGTTAATTTGTTAAATTAATCCTACCGGTATCGAACCCGAGAACTTCTCATCCAGTGCCCACAGTGCAAACCGTTAGGCTATCAAGGTTGTTACTATTTGTATTATTATGCAGTGTTTTTGTTCACTCATTGATGTAATCACATACCAAAGCTTTAATATTATGGTCTTTTATCAAGCTTGCATCAGCTCTGGTTTCCTTTATTTTCTTACCATTTTCTCAACCCGTTCGTGCATAGTACTGAAATAATACTGCGCTCAAAAACGTCACCACTTTTCTGTATGGCGTAGTGCTTACATTGATTCAATATAATTGTTACGGTTTATCACTGACGACGGTTGATTCCGTCAACAGGCATAGTCGTACTGCTCATAGTTCTTGCAAATGTTTCTTGTGCATAAAAAAGTACGGCTATGGTGGTAGTAGGGTATTTGCCGTTGTGAGATAATTACTAAATTGAAATGCACGATATTAATTCCGCAAGAAAAACTCTTTCCAAAATAAACACTTAGGTACTAATTAATAATAATAATTATAATAACGCACACACTCAACATTGCCCCGCATTAGGGAAACCCTGTGTCGCGGGTGCCATGGACACACATATAGACAACCACAAATTACATCCAAACTCACGAGAGAAATAAATGAAGGCCATACACATATTTCTCCCGAAAAACCTAAAAAAATAGTTTCGGGATTATGGAAATTCATGCGAACGTTATTTCGGGCAAATGTATTTTCGGTCTTCTGGTTCGTAACCCCGAGCCGTAGAAAGAGTACAACAATATTTGAAAATATTACTAACATGTATTAAAAAATATTTTAATAATAACATTAGCATCAAAGCGACTCTATGAAATTTTTGTTCTAAATATTTCAAACAATTGAAATTGACGTGATGGGTCTCGTTCGCCTTTTACGCAAGCAATGAGTCGGAAAGAGACAGTTAGCTATTTGATTATTTTGATTGCTTTTGTAATTTATATTTACGATTAATTTAAATATAAATTAAATACTATATATACTAGTGCATAAAAAAACACTTTTAAATGATAACTATGATAACACAATGTAGTATTTACTGAAAATATGATATACCACCCTGGTTTTTCACGTTAGTTGAGTAAATTTTACGAAGTTTTAATACACAATACGGCATCATTGACAAGCGCGCTGTCAGTCGAACAAACGAAGACTAAAGCGTGATTGACGCTCTGTATACGATTTTAACGCCCTGTAAGTTCGGACACTTTTTAGCGCGGACCCGACGTCCTTTTATTTGTAAGTCAATGGGCATCTAAATGCTTCAAGATTAACAACTATTGTAGTATTTTTCAGGCGGAGTGTTATGCTATTTTCTAAGCATTACTTTATATAAATATTCTCGAAGTTTATATTGTAAAAATTAGTATTTTTATGATTTTAAGATCTGTCTAAATTTTTCCTCGTAAACTTAAGTTTATTTATTTTAGTTATTTCAGACAATCAACGGCGATTTTTAAATAATATTTAACAAAATAAATTATATTTGTTTGTAAGGCCAATAACAGATCGCCCCGTGCTATTTAGACGGTAGTCGGTAAAAAGATTTAAACATAAAAAAGGAGCAATTGTATCCATTAAGAAAAACCAAATAGGTATTTTAAATTTAAGTAGTACCTAGACATAATATGGTGTATAGTTAGCTGGTTTGTCGAATTAAAATAGGGAATCCAACATAGGTACAAAATGGAAGAATAAATGGAATCGGCAAACGATGAGGCATGTTTATACCTAACGTCTTTCTTATTTTTATTAACCTATAAACTAAACCTTTGTAAAGGTCATACAACTATTGTGCATTCGCGATCAAATCGCACTTCGCTATTGCCACCGCAATGCATTAAACTGCCGCAATTCTATTGTGCCTCATTTCTGTATTGTGAATCCACCTTAACACAATAACACATGCGTATCGTGCATCGCATCGCTATTCGCATCGCCTATCGCACGAAAGTGAGAACGCGGCATTATTAAGTATAGCATCTATGGTCTATCTATATAATAGTTTAGTTTTTTATGGTTAGTTACATTTGTTTTGTAACTATTACATAATATGGTGGTTACAGGTTATAGACGACAAATCAATGAGCTTCCCTTCATACTTTAACAATTTACAATTTGCACAAAGCTTTACACTGGTTTTTTACAGTAATTTACACTCATAATAATAATAACGCACACACTCGTACTTTTATATACAAATATTACAACGACTTATTAATTAAACAAACGCTAAAGGAACTAAATAAATCCAAGTACTTAATTATATCTTAATTTAAATCGCTTCACCAGACGAAATTTTGCTAACGTTCCAAATACAGAGTGTACGATATATGCGTTCCACCATTAGTTCAAAATCGTATTAAAACATAACCAAAATTATAATTTATAACATAACTACAATTATAATACTTGTAAGTGCTAAATATAGCATTAGCACTTAGCGTACTCAAACTTGAAATTTAACATCAATAAACCAATCAGCTATTCCGCGTTTCGCACCAAACGTTAAATGCTACAAATAATATGTGAAAGTATTTCACATTATAATTGTTTCAACCAATGACAAGAGCCGCAAGTTTTACATAGAATATAGTGCCATCCTTGTGCCATCTATGAAATATTAAGCGAGATAACTCAGGACGAAGAAGGATTTTGTTTGTTAACTGCGTAAGTAAAGCACCGATAGATTGATGGTATGGCATTGAAATATTGTAAAATTATCTATATATTTATTATATGTAGTCGCTAGATGGCATTTGGTTTAATTTTCTTAACGTACTCCAATCCAAAGTGAAAAAAAGTTCGTTATAATTTTAGCATCTTTATGTCTTTCAAATTGTAATTGCTATAATTATTTTTTAATTTATCTTTATAATTTGAGCTATATATGATATTAACCATCTCTTGTAAATGGTAAGTCGCTAAAATACTTGCCGCGATATGCCAAGAAAAAAAAACTGCATCGTCAAATTCCGTCCTGAATCGAGTTAAAACTGATAGGTTAAGACTTGAAAATAGCAAGTGATAAAATATCAAGTGACGAGACAAATAACTTTCAAATATTTTATCGAAGACAAATGTTAGATAATTTAAAAAGTATCTCACTAATATTGAAATATTATAAATATTCTAAAATATGTTCGTTATTAAGTGTAAAAAAACTGAAACTCAGTTCGGTACAGTGTTTGAAGTTTGACAGACAGCCGTTAACCATGCCGCATTATGTCAGTTTAACAGTCACTCACGCACAGTCGTGAATTCATTCATGATCAATTTGTGTGTACTGGCGAACAGTCAGGTGCATAGTTTTGTATTTATTTATTCCAAAAAATATCATAATTAAAAAAATGGAATCTGAAGAGGAAATTGAGCATATAGAACATGATAAGCCCGCAGTTATGTATAACCTGTATTACATTTGTATGAGAAATAGATTCGTCATGTTTATCCGTTGTATGGATGCACAAATTACGAACAACTTTCGTGAGGCTGAAATCTACACGAGGTAAGCGACCTTTATTCTGTAGCTTATCTGTCTCATATCCGGTTAGATTTAATTAAAATACTATAACTATCTTAATCTAGTTACTACTGTTAATATTTCAGGTCCTGTTTTTAGAAGCAATATTTGTATAGTGGGAAAACTGTAAAAATATCAGTGTATTAAAACACACTCATACAAATTTGTTACTGTTTTGTACCTAACCAGCTAGTTACATATCCTTTTATGAGAAGGCTGGATGTTTGTTTTTTAATAAATAATATTAACTTCAAAACATAAACATCTCTAATTTGCTATTTCCTAGATACCTTACCTCTGTCCTATAGCATACACTGACTGCTTAATATTTTAAGGACTAGGTGAAATAGTAAAACATTATTCATATTTTTAACTACTTCAATGTTTGGGAATGTTGAAAATTTTGCTTTCAGTCTTTTTAGGTTTAAAAAAAATTAAACTGTCTATTCAAAAAGTAGTATAATTGTTTCATCATTCAGGACATAATAAGCGGTCTAATTGGTCATACTGCCAGATCTTAGATCAGATTGTAGTTTTTCTTCAATAGTATAATTTTCTGACATTTTTCCCAGGAAATATGAATTTATATCTTTACGGTGCTTATTTTGAAACTCGCTGACCATTAAAATAAATGGCAATTGAATTATTTTTTTATTTCAGGCCCGCCCAAGGCAACGGTTTATGGACTTGCGCTCTTCTTCCAGCTATTCTTATCTTTTATGATAATATATACAAAGTGTCACCACTCTATAAACTGATAACCTGTGTATCCATAGGTTTATTGGCCCATAGCATTCTTTATTTGCTGTTCTTCTATGTCTCATGTCTGGTGTTAAGAGATACTCTGAACGCAGGTTGCTTTTCTGCTGCATTTCTGTCGGCATTGCCTATCTATTTGAAGTTAGAGCAAAGTAAGTCTACTAGTGTTGTGACCCAGCTTTCTTATTACAGTAATATTTAATGTTATCTAATTGTGTTTATGTGCAGTACATACAATGAACACCTTCTTTTACCATTGTTTTATCTAAACCTGGTCTATTTTACCATAATATTGTTGTATTGATAATCATTTTGGTTTTCAGGTCTGGTTGTCGCCATAGCACTTCCATTAATGGCAATTTACATATTTACGTTTTTTTTAAAGCTGGCTTTGGTAAAATGTCCCAAAACATTTACTATTGGAGAAGCAATGCTGGTATCACAGGGCATGTCTCTGATTATTGTTACAATGATTGCCAGGGTGGTGCTTGGCAGCTATTATCCAGATTATGCAGAAACTGATGCTACAATGCATTTGATCAATACTTATGTCTTTGTAAGTTTATGCTTTTTAAAGTACCATTTTAGTGACAAATAGCCTCACATTGATATACATTTTCAATATTGTGTTTTAATAACTATTTACATATTAACGTAAAATCAGGCCTGTATACATCATTATGTACAGTACAACCTGAACATTAAGTTCTTCTTGTAAGATAGCAAAACTATTATCTGATTTCAGACAGTGTTCTCTACCGTCGGATTGCTTGTTGCAGTTCTGTACAATCTAGAAGAATATAACAGAACTTTTGATAAACTAGTTTTTATTATAAGCCTGGCCTTATTGTACACTTTAATAGTATTACATGTGTCCTATGGGTATAATTGCATACCAGCGTTTGTATATTTTATCTTTGGAAATTCAGTGAGAGTAAGTATTTTTTGTTTAAAAATATTTATATGTGAAGTGCCTCTGTGGCCGAATGTTACCGTACTGGTTTACCACGCAAAGGTCTCGGGTTCGATTCCCGGGCCGGGAATAATATTTGTATGGCCTACATTTATTTCTCTCGTGAGTTTGGGTGTAATTTGTGGTGTTCTATGTGTGTGGCCATAGCACCCCCGACACAGGGTTTCCCTAGTGCGGGCAGGATAGAAGTTACTGTTGTAATAAATGCATAAAATTATTTCTATTACTGTTCAATGCAATACTTATAAAAGGTATGTTATTGCATGTGTTTTATACAAACTATATTATTCCCGTGAGTTTATTTTATGTTTAGTTCTGTACGAATGCGTGCGAATACACATGACGTAAATTGGATTTTCCCAGTGTGGTATCGAAATGTTCAAAAGTAAAAAAGCAATAAATTGGCACTTTTTAGCAACACCTGGATTATTGTCTGCGTTCTTGTTAAGAAAATAAATAGAATCAACTTTTAACACTTAATGCAGAACAAATGGTTTTCATCCACCATATATTGCCTTTATTGACATTTGAGTAGTAAATTTAGAGATGACGTTGTCTAACTTCATACTTCTTTCAGTTATAATTAATAAACAGATTGTCAACGATCCTGTAGTTGCTGTTTATCCTATTACTATCATCTTTAGTCAATAAATCAATTTATTTGGTGTACTGATTTTGAATTTTTCTCAGTTTTAAACGTAGATATTCCTATATCTATATTTAAAACATAGATATAGGAATATAAAATGGTTTTAAACATCCGGTATCCGGTCAGATAGTTACGGATATCCGTTTCATCTCTATTTAAAAGTATTATCCTAAGTGATAAAATATATTTAATTTTGATGATATTATGTTTCGCAGGTCCGACTATTTTGTTTTTGGCTGGCGCTGGTGTTGTTGTCAGTGTTTATAATAGTCGTTCGTACCCGAAAAGGCGACAGGGCAAACACAGTAACACGCAAAGTGTTTCATTTATTAGCTACACTAGTTTTCATATCTGGAATTTTGCTTGATGTATACTTTATGACTCTTGCCGCTGGTCTGATCTTCTGTGTTCTAATATTAATTGAGGTATGTACATTTTTATTTTGATTATTGAATACCCCTACAAAAATAAGAGAAAAAAACATTGTTATTAATGTCGATATGTGATGTTTACGTGTGAATATTAGCTATGTGGTGTTGTGAGCACCTGTGGTAAATACCTACCAGGTTCTGAAACCGTTTACCTAACACATTAAATCTTGTTATCTATACTAAAAATAGTAAAAACCTATTACCTACCCATCTACCCTAGAGGTAGTCATTATTACAATAACATGTAATGCATTATTCTTACGCATGTATAACTCACATTTCATTATCGAACGACTATCTATCTAACTGCTGTTATTTGTTATGTTTGTAATCTTTCAGTGCACAACACAAAATCCTTTTTCCCATTTTATATTTTAATGTTATCTGTTATATTATTGTAGTTAATAACAAATGATAGTTGTATTTCAAAATCTCAACGTCCTCAAAAGTTACGAAAATTGCCTAAAAGGTTAACTACAATGTAAGTGCCTAAAATGTAAGTACAAAAGTTACTTACATTATTACGCGAGAAGGTCAAAAGTTGTGAAAAATGTAGGACGTGGAAGTGTGTGTCTGGCAACAGTATCATTGTCATGTTGTATGCAAAACTACATAACAGCTGAATAATAGGATAACTGACAACAATTTACAATAACAATTATTGAAAATTAACATAGCAGTGTAATTCATTATTGACAAGTAGTCGTTATTGCCATGTCTAAGGGTGCTGGTGAAATTACAGGCACATGGGACTTGTCAACTTATGTCTCAGGGTGACGGGCGCAGTGGCAGTGCCCGAGTGCCCCTGAGATCTTTGCAATTTAAAGCTTTGATTGGCACTGCAACTGTTATGGACAGGCGTGTAGCCTACCATTAGGCCCACGATTTGTTCGTCCCGTCACTAGATATAATAAAAAAAAACCAAGATGAACTTAAATTATTTAAGTCTTTGTCTAAAAAACTTGCCGCGAGCCCCACAGTGTTGTTACATTATCATCATCAACCCATGTCCCATTGTACGTCCTACGCCTGTAGGGCTAGCACGATAAGGCGCGACTTGCGCGAGAGCCACACAAAGCACGAGATCTCTATGCGAGAATAGCAGTATCTCGCGCTTTATGTCGCTCTCGCGCTAGTCGCGCCCTATCGTGCTAGACCTACTGGGCAGGGGTCTCCTCTAAGAAGAGTGTTTAATTAGACCATACAGATTTCATCACGAATGTTTCATGGATTATATCTACACTAAACGTTCATAAATGTACGTCACTTGTTATAAATTATAGTCATTCAAACCCACTGCTCATGTCATAGTCAACCCTGTCCACGGGCTGATCTGGGGATAGGGACCTGAAATTATAAGGTCCCTATTACACACAGATACCCTTACTATACACAGTACCCTTACTTTATTGGTAGATTAATGGCCCTTACCGTATAACCAAGGGGTAGATAGAGAGAGTCACTATAAACAAACTTAAGTCGAAATATATGTGACTGTTCACGTCATAGTAATGGCGTAAAATCGCATAATGCTAAAGTTTGTGATGCCTCTAATAGAACCTTACTTTGTTACAGGCAATAAGGAAATCTAAAATCAATCCAGTGTCACCCTTTTTACAGTACGCTTTTGATATTTACAAGGATCATAAGGTAAATGATTTTTTTGCATGTTTTATAGAGACAGGAATATTTTAATTCTTCAATAAGATTTTATTATTATAGTAATTTTTTAAGTCAAATAAATATGCAATGACTAATGACTGTTGCTATCGCAAACAAAATAAATAAAAATTAATTTATAGTGTTTTTTAAATGGAACAGTATAGGGAAATCCGAAACCATATAACCAATTTCTTAATGCTAATAGACTCAGTTTCTTATAAGGATGATTTCATTGTATCGGAAGAAAAAAATTGGGGCAACAGAAGTTGGTCAAATTTTTTTTTTTAATTCATACAAAGTTAATAACATTTTATGAAATTTGACAAACTTCTGCTGTCCCGATTTTTTCGTCCCATACAGTGAAATGATCTTTACATAAAACTGAGTCGATCAGCACTAAAAAAATCATCAATTTAATTCATTTTTACGGACAACTTACGCTTGACCAAAAAATTGACTATGCCAAAATTGTTTTGACAAAAAAAGACTTTTGGTTCCTAAGACAGTTTCTTCGTATCTTCTATGGTTTCGGATTTCCCCTTACTGTCTCATGAAAAAAACACTGTATTTTATTCTTGCAGGACAGTGGCAATTTCGCAATGACAGCGATTTATTTATATGTAGGGTTAGCGTGCCCACTAGTAATTGTTCCTCGTGAGGCAAAGAACCCAGAACTGGAGTTGCTGAGCGGGGTCCTGGCCATCGGCATTGGAGACACCGCCGCTAGTTGGTTTGGCGAGAAGTACGGCACTATGAAATGGCCTGGTTCGTTCATTGAAATGTATCCAAATATAATATACCTATTATTATTTTTACTTACTAAATTAGCAGTGAATGTAAAAATAGATATTCATATTAATTTTCTTTGTGACACATAAATTGAACAACTGCAGTAGATCAACAATGAATGATTTTTCATACCCTGAGGTTAATTTGGTATGGTGTTTTTCAATTCAATTTCAGACGGCAACAGGACAATGGAAGGCACAGCATTTAACGTATTAGCGCAAATGGTCGCTATTTATATGCTCAACATTTTTGGTAATTACAATTTTACTTTTTGCTGCATTCAATTATTATTTAGTGGCAAAGAACAAAAAAGCCTTTACGTTTAGGTTTTGTGCGTGAGGTATTATTTCGTATCATAAAAAAAATCGTTATCGTATCGCCGTTATCGATAGTTATACGTTTACACATCTATAGAAGATAGGTCTAACAATACGTCTGTAGCGATTTCAAGACTGGATCGACCTTAAGACTTTGTAACCCCATCGTTACATTAAAGGTATGGTCCCATACAAAAAATACACATTTTATTTTTTCATACTAAACTACTTCGATTTATGGCAAAATATGATATGACAATATTTAATTAGGACAATGGGATCTCTCGATTGGCATTTTTTTTAGAGAGGTATCGTGAACAAAAATCCAATGTCAGCAATATCGCATATCCGACCCACTGTGCGTCGCAAAGTTAAGATAAATATAGTGTACCTACCTGTCCCCAATTACGTCAATTTTTAATGTTCTCAAGTGATTTCCCGAATCCCGAAAAGGTCCAGGACCTAAAAAATATTGTCGTAAGGCAGTCTTTATTTTCTGTTTATGGTTTAGGTAAAAATACTACCTATTTTGATCCATGGTTAGCCTATTGTACTGCGTCAATTTTAAAAAAATGCTTACATTTTTAAATTGTATATAATGTATAATAATAATTTGTATTTTTTTCCAGATTTGTTAGACTCGCCGTACATGTACATTCGCACAGCGATAGCTGCAACCGTTTCCGCGTTGGTAGAGGCGCGGACGACACAAGTGGACAACTTGGTGTTACCTCTTGTTACTATTTTAGCTTTTCAGAGTACGACTATCTTATGATACATTGTAAAATATTAGTAAAACTTGAAAGTCTATTAGTCAATTATTACTGATTAAATGGTGTTGGGATTTACAAAATTGCCAAGTTATACTACGTTATTAAAAAATGAAGTAATTTTTTTTAAATCGATTAAGTAATAAGACATTTCCTGAAAAGGTACAGGCCATAATGACCCGAAGGAATGGAGGCACAAACGAGTTCTAAATATTGTTAAAGTTAGAGATACTTATGTAGCATTATTCCACGGGACCTGATGTGTATATTTTTAAGTCTTATACATATAAGTGTTAGATATGTATTGTAATTTTTCAAACATTCCATTTAACTATGCCAAAGAGTGAGACTTGACAGATGTTTGACAGTAATTTATTGTAAATGAAGTGCTTTAAAATAAAATAAATAGTTTATATACATAAATCATTGTTATTTCATTGAGATCATTACACATAAAAAAGAGGTTAGTAATTGCAATTATACTTATTTGCTTGATTCCTTAATTTACATTTATAATGTCATTGGTACTCATTTGTTCTGTTGTATTTATTTCTTGATTGCTGACTCTACTTTAACTTCGGATTTAATGATAAAGTTATTTTCATTATTTGCAGTGTTTGCATCATTACTGTCAGGGTTTGTTATATCTTCATTTGCAGTAATTATTTCTGGGTAGTCTGCTATACTATTTACAATAATTAAGTTAGTATTATTTGTGCTCTTTTCGCCATTTGCATTATTATTGGTAGCATTTGCTAGGCAATTTTTGGAATTATCATTTCTATTTATTGGCATATCTTCTGTTGCACTATGAACAACTTCTTCCTTTAATTCAAGTTTAATGATTTTCGATTTATCATCTACTTGATTCTTAATTTCGACATTATTTCTCTTGTTTTTAATCAAACTCCGCTTCTTCTTAAGTCCCTTACATTTAGATTTAAAAATTTTTTCTAAAGCTAATACATCATGTCTATGTATTGTCCAATCGATTATTGTGTGTTCTGCCAGTTTAGTGGGGTCATCAACGTCGTTATAAGGTGGAGTGTCAATGTTTAAAAAGCTCATTATTCTTTCTAACACATCATCCACATAGTAGTTTATCACTAAGTCAGCTTTGTTGTCCTGTAAATCATACATGAAACCTTTATTAATCTTTCACAGAATATATATTTCTTATATATATATAATTACGTCACCTGAAAGACAAAATATAAGTTCAGTGAAACTTACATGTTTTGTAGGTTGTAGATTGCAAATCACTAATGTTCCTCCATATTTAGCAGTTTCTAAAGGAATATTCCCACTTGGAATTATTTGCAATGTTGTGCCTAGACATATACTTAGATCAGCAATACTGAAACGGAAATAAAAAAAAAACTTAAAATTTCATTTAGTATTTATTAATAATTAGAAGAGACAATGTAGAAAATGTTTATAATTACATTAGACCTGGAATGTGTATGAGCACAGCTGGCCGCATGGGCGTAAAAGTGCAGTAAGTCTTAACCATAAATAATAGGAAAAAAAAAAATTATTATCAGTAGTTCCATGTACTGAATTCCATGTGGAATAATTGTAACCCAAAAGTTTACACCTTACACTGTACTAGTGGGAATAAATTTAATGTTTTTTATCTTTATTCCCATTAGTTCCATATTATCCATATTATTTATTAAACTTTATTGATCATAACACAGAATGGTACAAAAGGCGAACTTAATGCTAAAAGCATTCTCTACCAGTCAACCTTTGAGGAAAACGAAATTCACAAATGCGGAAAATTATGAATAATAACAAATATAATAAATATATAATGAAATATACAACAAACAAACCTAACATACATATTATCTGTAAATATAATACATATATTTATATATGATACATACAATAACAAGAAGATGATGATAATCATTGTGACAAACAATTTAAAAGTTGCTCCTGGACATTCTTTTTGAAAGAGGGTAAACTAGGAGACCTGATGGTAGAGCATTCCAGAGTGGAGAGTGAAGGAATCAGACATGAAGCCAGAATTAATGAGAGAAATAGAGAGTACAAGAGAGTTAATGGATCCAAGGGATACTGAAATTTACATTTCAAGTATTCTGGATAGTCAGGATTGAAAAAGAATGGAGTGCAGCATGCAGAGTAGTCTCTTCTACTTGCATAGACGGACAGGGAACCATTTAAGTTGAGCCCTGAAAGAGGAAACATGATCAAATTTGCGAAGGCAGAAGATGAAACAGCTAGCATTATTGAGAAGGTGGTCAAGCTTATCTAATAGATATTCATTAAGATCAGGGTAACAGACATCTGCATAATCAATGAGTGGGAATATAAGGGAGGTGACAAGTAAGATTTGAGTACTAATAGGAAGAAAGTTCCGAAAGCGGTTAAGAAAACGTAAAGAAGTAATAACCCTCCGACTAACCTCAGATACCTGTGAGGTCTAACTTAGTGAGGAGTCAATGTAGAGGCCAAGGTTTTTAACACTAAAGCTGAGCGGAACAGACGCGTTCTCATATACTATATGATGGAGTGAACTATAGTCAATCTTAGCTATATGTTTGGATCCACCTACGACAATAGCTTATACAGACAGATTCTTAAAGCTGCATATCATGGTTATAAACTATAAGCGCCCCAATTACACGAGGCGAAAGTTTTCGCGTGGCCGCCGCGCAGCGACCGCCCAGTTGCCGCCTTCATGTAGATTAATGGCGAATCTGAATTATATTTACTAAGCAACAACATTTAAATTTCTCTTAATAACACACACGGCCGCCGCGTAGACTAAGTTCAAGCCAGTCTCGCCCGCGACGTTCATTTAAGTTAAAACAAGAAAGCTAAGTAAATAGAGCGTATTTTGCCATGACAGTTAGATGCACGCGGTCGCTGCGCGGCGGCAACGAGATCTCCACTCGGCGACCGCGCGGTGTGCGCGCGATGAAATTTGTGTCGAATAAATGCTAAATTAATAGAACAAAAATCCACAAGGTAAGGGTGTCAATTTCAGTTTTTTGAATGCATTTAGATACAACTTAGGTTCCATCTTGTTTTTACCTTATATTCTAAATAATGTAGATGATTTATGTTACCTAGAGTGCCACTCTGCCATGAGCAAATCATTCTCAGGAAGACTATGTTCCCAGTCCAGGACTCCATCATATAATCGACCTCTGCATGGCCTGCCTCCTATATGCTCTGATGCACAGGGCACTCCACTGCACTTCTTGCCCACTGTCTCTACTGGACAATTACGGACAAATTGCCTAAAGAGGTAAATAAGACATGATTCAATTAAAGAAGAAAGTGTAGTTAAAGACAACTAGACAGGTTATCTTCGAAATGCATATAAAGCATTTGAAAAAGAAAACCCAAAACAAATTTTGCAAATATTGCGATTTATGTTTAGTAGCAGAACCCCTTGTGAAAGAGTTTCGGCAGGGAAGTACTGACACCTTACCTGTTTCTGCTGCCAAGCAGTAATGTGAGTTTCACTGTGTTCCAGTTTGGAAGGGTAAGGCTGCTGGTGGTATTTACTGGTACATGGAACTTGTCAACTATGTCTCAGGGTGTTGGGTGCAATGGCAGTACCCCTCAGATCTTTGAGATCTAAAGCTCTGAGTGGCGTTGCAACTGTTATGGACAGGTGTGTGTGAAGCTTACCATCAGGTGCAGGACTTGTTCGTCCAAGTTACTTGATATTATAAAAAAAAAATTCTTTTCAACATGTAAAGTTTGATTGCACAGTCAACAGCACTTTAAGCTATACATTTTTGTTCAAATACTGCCTATAGTATTTACAACAAAACAAGATCTGTCAATGTGTAGCTTGATGTGCTGCCGTCTGTACTTTTACAAACATTTAAGTTTCTGAAGAAAGAATTAAAATTGAAGATAATTTACCTTTTACATAAATTGCATTCATCAATAAACATGTTCCCATGAAGCTCAGCTAAATACTTTCTACTTAACCCAGACTTTAAATGAAGGCCATCAATATTCTGACTGACTATGTAATGGACTTTACCACATTCAACAAGCTTCTTAAGTATCATGTGGGTTTTGGTAGGCTTAGCATCAACAAATGAGATGTTGGTTGCGGGTTTCTTGCCTTGTTTTTCTAAGGTCCACACTCCATTTGGGCCTCTGTAAATTTTAATGTTGGTAGTTATACCATTAGTAATGACTCATCTTTCTACTTACTTCTTGTAGTAACATAGCCACCATAGAGCGAATGATACATAACATAGCCACAATAGGGTGAATGAAGAATGGGAGTGCGAACAGGAGATTCAAACCTGAATAGATTGCTCGAGCTATATTGAAGAGGATGGAGAAGGTTTTGTGCAGCCACAAACTATCAATAAAGCTCCAAGTGTAGTTGCTCCACTGCTACGCCTGACTTGTAGTGTTGTACAATGCTGGCTTAAGGAGCTCCATTTCAGCAATACTATACTTACATACAGGAAATGTTAATTCATCCATTACTTGATATGAACTTGGTGACAAACACCATTCTATATCGATTTTAGCTGTAAGATTTAAAGAAACGTACCTGAAATCTGGTATACCAGCTGAGGTGCTAATCCCAGCTCCAGTATGTACCACTACATGTTTGCTTTGGATTATCAATTGCGCCAAAAGTTCACATTTTTTGTTAAACTTATCTATTGAATCGAATTTCTGTAATGTGTATAATACTCATAGTTAAAAACTACTGTCTATAGGAAAAATATTATAATAAAATAAATATTTGATATTGAGAAAAAGGTTCAACTCACTTCGGGGACACCTAAGATACCCTTATGTTCGTACGGCGAAAGGCCCTCAGCGTAGTTGCAAGACATGTCTGAAAGGCTGAATGTAAAACAGGCTTAATAAATACGCGTCTATATAAAAATAACAAATGAAATATAATGACCTGTGTTTTCACAATTATCCGAAATTCCGAATCAAAAGAACAAGTTTGTTTTGTTTTGTATGCAGCGTTGCCCGTTGTCACCAATAATTGGTGATTAATTGCTAATGCCATTGCCATACCAATTGTTCAAAATTCCCAAAAATCAAGGTTAAAATGGGGAGATTGAATTTCGTATTTCCCACTAATTCCCCACATCTCGAGTTCTCATAATTTTATAAATCCATCGCTTAAAAATATAATAAACAATTATTAAGAAACTCAAAATGTAACTATTACGTTTGCTGGGAATGTAAATGACAAACAGGATGCAATGCAAATTATAAAATTAGATGACCGAAATGGATTATTTATTTTAATGAAATTCAACATTAATCAGACTTTCAAAAAACATAAATCATTTTTCTTAGCCTTAGAAAATTAAGTAACATAATTAATTGTTGCGCATTTGGTTGGTGACATTATGTGAAGGTTAGAAATACGAGGATGGATTGAAAAGCGGCTTCACATGAGGTATATTTTTTCATACTACCCTCATTTAATTCATATATCCATTGATTGTCACTGTGCAAAATGTTATTGGTGTAGTAGTTGTAGTTGTTTGTTTGTTGTGGCGGGTGCCATGGACACACACACATAGACAAACACAAATTACACCCAACTCACAAGAGAAATAAATGTAGGCCATACAAATATTTCTCCCGGCCCGGGAATCGAACCTGGGGTCTCTGCGTGGCGGTCCGGCATGATAACCGTTCGGTCACGGAGGCAGTTATATGACTTCATGTCAAGTTGTATTTTTTTCATGTTATATATATTTTAATAAAAACCTATATTAAAATATTAAAATCTGTTTTCTCATTTATTGATAGAGCCGGAGGAGCTCTACCAGGTTATGGAAACCAGCAGCTACTAAACATTGCGTGAACAGATTTAGTACAAAGAGTGTACGAACGTAATTTATGTGATATGAATCATAGAGAGATTAATGGTGAGATTAACCAAATTCGTATAAATAATACTCTAGTTAAAGAAACGAGTACTAAGTCGGGGTCTGGACTTTCTGGGATTCAGAAGCTAGAAGGAAGTAGCAACTTTGACAGTTGGAAGTTTGATATTGAGTCTTAGAGGATGGAAAAAAATAAATAGTCTAAGTATTGAGCGCATATTAGTCTATGATGGTCTATGGCAATATATTGAGAGTCCGCCTGTTCGTGACCCAGTTGCTAAGCGAGGTGACAAAAAAGCACGTACAAAAATTTGCCTACTTATTGAGAACCCTTGTAAGGTACATGTACGCAAACCAACAACGACGTTTATGACGTGGAAGAGTCTGAAAGCAGCATATGAGGACAAAGGCATTAACAACAGATGTAGGCTGCTATCGAGACTGGTGGACCTATAGCTTAATATGTTCAATTCGATAACCGAGTATGTAACAGAGCTAATGAGAGTAGCTAATCAACTGTCAGACACTGGGAAAGAAATTGATGATGAATTGTTAGCGGCATTGATGCTACAGGGCAGGGATTCAGAGGAGTGTATGCCTATGAGGTTGGCATTAGACAATACCAACATAGCATTAAGCACTGATTATATAAAAACAATTTAAATAAAAGTTTGTCTGGGCCGAGCACTCCAGGGCAGAGTTTGGCACTTACTACAGTGAAAAAGTATAGAAAACCTGTTAAGAGGAACAAACAAAAGAAGATCGTGAAGTGTTTCATATGGGAGGGACCACATAAAGCTTACGAATGCCCGTACAATCCACGTCAATCCAAGACAAGTCATATGGCAATAGCACTGACTTCTGTTAAAGAAAATAATAATGAAGATGAATGGATTTTAGATTCCGGAGCATCAACACATGAGATATAGGAAAGATTGGATGGATAATTTTATGAAAGTAAGAAGGCAGGCAGGAGAGTGTTGCGCAAATGGAGGTAAAGTGTGTGGAGAAGGTTTTGATACAGTAAAGAATGGCATTAGTGTGAGTAACGTAATGTATGTACCAGGTCTTGCTTCTAATCTATTGAGTGTAAACTGTATTGTGAATATAAAAGATAAAGTTGTTGTGTTCTCTAAAAAAGGATGCGAGATCTTTGATATGAGTGAGTTGACGATACAGGGTCAACCATGTACGACAGGAGTATTTGATAGAGACGTTTATAAACTTAAATGCTTTCCACAGGCCATCGGTATGGTGACAGGAGTAAGCAGTGAGGGAGCTTTGGTATAAAAGGGTGGCACACTTGGGTATTCGTAACCTCACTAGAAACAAACTAGCTATAGGAGTGAGTTTTCCTAATTTCTCTGGGAGTTAAAAAGATGACACCCGAAGATACATTGACCGGCCGAAGGACAGATCTAGGTCATTTTGGAGTATTTGGATGTAAAGCATATAAATTATATATATTCACATTCCGGATCAAAAGAGAACCAAATGGGATTTGAAAAGTAAGGAAACGGTTTTTGTTGGCTATTGCGAAGAATCGAAAGGATATAGATTGATTAATTCAAAGACGGGAGAACTTCATAGAGTACATGATGTTATTTTTTTTCGAAAACCAAATGTATCACGACGTCACAAAATCAAAAGAGAAAGCCGTACCAGTACCCGTTATTTTAGGGAATGATGATATACATTACGAACCGTTACAAAAAAGAGAAAGTGTTCAGCGAGATCAGAAAAATTATGAAGAGTGTCTTCAATCAAGTGATAGAGATCATGTTGATGAAGTTACTGAAAGAATAGATGACGAAGAAGAACAATGGTTGTCATCTGAAGGGGGAACATATGATCCGGAAACCACATCTGAACCTGTAGTGGTAGAACGGAGATACCCAACTCCACTCAATTTCCTGACTTTATCTCCTATCAATATCTGAAACATATGATCCGACGACAGTGCAAAAAAAGGCATTGTCACGAAGGGATGCAAAACAATGGAAAGTGGCAATTCAGGAGGAGCTGGATTCTTTAAACAAAACTAAAACGTGGGTTTTAGTAAAGCCAGAGGAAACAACCAACATAGTTGATTCGAAGTGGATATTTCGAATCAAAAAGGAAGTGGGGAATAAAACCCGTTACAGGCCTCGTTTGGATGCACGAGGCTTTAGCCTATGAAGAGGCATTGATTACGACGAGACGTTTGCACCTGTTGTGAAACATAGCTCGTTAAGAATGCTCATAGCTTTGGTGGCCAACCTAGGTCTAAAAATAGATCACATGGACGTTAAAACTGCGTTCTTAAATGGTGATCTAAATGAGAAATCTTACATGCGGGAGCCATCGCTGTTTACAGAAAAAGAAAAGGAAGATCACGTGTGCTTGTCAAAGAAATCTTTTTACAGACTGAAGCAATCGCTACGTTCCTGGAACCTTAAATTTCATACTGAGCTAGAGAGTCTCAAGTTGAAGCGCTGTAAACATGAATCCTGTATATACACGAGGTCTACAGGAAAGGACTTAATAATATTAGGGGTTAAAGTATGAAATTGCCGTTTTATTGCAATAGG